GAGCGTCCCTGTTTACGCTTCGCTGCTAATATTACAGACCTATAATTTTTATTCGACTGCAAGTAAATGTCCCGAGAACAATAGGCATTCTACGCGATGTGATAATGTGGCAAACCTTGATTTCGACTCCGCCGTGACAAAACTGATCAAACTGCTGGTTAGTGTGTTAGGTGACGTCACTTCTGCATGCATAAAACTGTTGTCTGTAGGTATGACGTCAATTGTGCATATACTAGTAGTAATCAGAGATTATGAGAGTGCGTTCGACGCTCTCACTCTAATATATATATACCGTCAATAAATGATTTCACTAGCTGACTTTCAACCTTTGTCTATTGCTAAAATCAATTTTTTTTTTCAGCAGCAACCGAGGTTTTACAGTCAGACACATATATGCATAGTGTCAAAGTCCATGCTAGTGAAGAGGTCGCGATCTGTTGATACATTGCGTGACGCCGCCAGTTTCTGTAGACTCTCAAGTTTAATAGGATATTTAAGTCACGTACATTATTCTAAGCTAGCATTTGCAATCGCGTGCTCGGTTCGCGTGGTCGTTTATCGTAAACAAACTCCATGCGACTAATTCGAGTCTTTATCCGGTCGAAATTCTATTGTTTGGAATCGGTGGAAAAGTACTCTGAAGGCAAGATCCATAAGACTACTTTATTCATCAGGGAAAATACTGAGCTATCTGTCACGACTGGAACTAATCAACAAATGCAATCAAAATGTAGCTGTTCCACGGTTATCATCCAAAAGCCAAGTCGTGTTAATAAACAAGGACAATTCCCTCAGATTTCGATAAATGCTACCGTCGAAGCGTCAAAATTTCGCCAAAACCTAACGCTGAGAGCAAATAATAGCGAAGCGTACGGCGACTGAATGGAAAGAAGTCAAAGAGAGATCCATCGGAAAGACGAGCTCACATAGCCTGCTCACATACTCACATGTTCGCCACATGTCTTATCACATGTCTTAGCATTAAACGGTACCAGTTTACTGGCCGTGACATGCCCCTGCAAAAATCAAGCGGGGTGGCTATTTTGGTGTCCTTACAGGAATGTGGGTTTTTCGGCCTAGAACCGTGCACAGGGCAACCAACTCTGGAAAGCCACAGGTCAAATTAGGTTTGCGTTCCACTTCGTCGAACGCAATAATACTATTGTCTGTAGGTATGACATAAGAGAAACAGAGCAGGCAAGAATTAGCTGCGTGCTTATAGCCAATCAAAATCGAGCTGGTGACACCAATGTACAATAATACCTTTATATGCCACTTATGACGTTCTATTTCCTGATGAAGATTGTGCTGTTCAGATTAAATTGGTGGGAATAAAGAAGTATCAAGAAGTCTCTTGAGCGACAACATGGAGAATGTGAAGTAAACATCTTGCACCATTATGCAACTAGTCTTCATGGAATCAGTCAACTACTTTTGTTGTGCGTGCAATGGGTCATCTTTGCCGTATATAGAAACCACTTTTGTAGTATTGCAAAATTCCCTGGTGAAGTATGCACTAGTCCAATAATAATAATAATAATAATAATAATAATAATAATAATAATAATAATAATAATAATAATAATAACAAGCTTTATTTATTGAGGGTAGCACACAACACTAATCACTGAAAAACCAGTGGCCCTCACATAAATATTTACAGAATAAAAAGCTGACGTGTTAAAAATTAAAAATAAGAAACTGATTCTCAAATATCCAACGATTATATAAAAAAACTGAGAGGTGAGATACACTAAGATATTAAAAAGCAAAGCATTGGATCAAGTCTAACAATTAAAACAAGAAAATTAAAAAGATTAAAAATTTACATATCTTGATAAAAATGGTCCAATTCTTTTTAACTGTCCATAAAATATTTTAAAATGGATTTTTTTGAAGCTTTTTATACGGTTAGATTGATTTTTGATATGGGCAGCCTCATATTCCAGAGGCGGCTAGTCGATACTGAGAAAGACCTTCCACCCTCAGACTCCTGTTTGAATGGGGGGCAGACAAGGTTTAATTGACCATGCCTGCTCGTTCTTCCGTTTACCTCTGCATTTCTAATAAGCATCTGGGTAAGATAAGATGGTCACTCCCCTAAAATCCGTTTATATACCAATATTTACTTATTTATTTTCACTTCATAATAAAATGGAACCCAACCTAATTGTTTAAAAAATTTCACACTGTTCGCTTTTGTGTCGGCACCCAGTATTACGCGGGCTTCGCGTTTTTGTAGTCTGAACACATTCTGAATGTTTTCTACAGAGCAGGATGTCCACGCGGTTTAGGCATATAGCATTGTCTGCTTAATCATTGCGTTATAATAAAGTTTCCTTTGATCAAGAGGCAGTTAGCATCTAATTTTCCGTAACACAGCGATTCTCTGTGCTAACTTCTTGCATAGGTCATCCACATGCTCGTCAAGGGAAAGCTGATTGTCGATCGTCACCCCGAGCAGTTTGTGCGAGTGTACCTGACTAAGTTAAGAAGGGAGGAATGTTCCATCTTCTTCATCAATCGTTTTCCCGTAACAAGCATAGATTTTGTTTCGGACTCGTTTATAAAAACAAGGCCAGTGACTTTATCATAGTCGAGGTTAAAAAGCAACTGGTCAACCAAATGAATAAGTGCAGTTTCAGCTGAGTGGGATTTCCTGGAAACCAGACTGGACATGGTGAAACAGATCGTTCTCCTTAAGGAAATTGCACAAGTGTTCACATATGTAGTTCGTATAGTGTGATCGTCCNGTCAGTCACCAACAACAGTTCTTTTCAGAGCTACACTCACCCGGACGATCACACTATACGAACTACTGATACTCCTGGGTTCAAACCATTTACTGTGTTCACATATGTGTTTCCCTAGTATTTTAGAGAGAATGGGAAGCACAGAAATCGGTCTGTAGTTGTTCTTATCATTCCTACTGCCATTTCCTTTGAAGACAGGGGTGACTTTTGCAACCTTCCAATAATTCTACAACCCTCCTCCGTGTTATTGTCGGGAGGTCAAATGATCCAATGCCCTGTCTGTGAGTCGTTATTGGTGGGTGGCCAGTCGGCGAATCAAGCTCCAGCGGTGCCACAACCAGTTTCTTGGGTTGATCAACGAAAAACAAATTTAGAATCTCGGCAATACTTTGTTTATCCAAGATATTTTCCTCGTTTTCTGTGAGAGGTTTAATTCCACTTTCAGCGCTTTTGTCATCATTTGATAGACATTTGATAACGTTCCGGAGTTTCCTGGAGTTGTTCTTGTTTTCGTTAGTTTTATCCCTGAAGTTCAGTCACACTGTTTTTTGCTTGTTTAAATGCATTCCAGTCACTTTCTGCCTGGCTCTTTCTGGCTTTGTTGAGAAGTTTGTCCCTAGCGTTTATCCCTTTTAGGATTTCAGCATTGAACCATTTTGGCTGAGCTTTGCGCTTTACTCTCTTGTTTCAAAGGAAGGTGCTCATCAATAATGCCACTGAATATTTCGTACCAGGTGTCAACTACATCATTAGGATCCTCGAATACAAAGGCGCAGTCCCAGGGAGCCTCATGCAACGATGAAATAAATTGCTCTTTGTTAAGACTCTTTATGTCGCGGTATGTTGTTGAGGTGTGTTGATTATCATTGTTTTTCGAGCGAATAAATTTCCTGTTAACAATGACTGGGAGGTGATCGGACATCCTAGAAGACATAGCCATCACACTGTCGAAGGCGCTCCGGATGATTCTATCTTTACGATACATTTGGCATCCTGGAGTAGAATAGAGCGAGTCAGGCACTTTCACTGAACAAAACGTCTCAGTTAATATCATAATATCAGGTTTTTCTTCTTTGTTGTTTGGACTTGTCAGCAGGACTCTTATCTCCTCAAGTTTGCTCTCTGTTAATAGATGCTGCATGAACGTTCCAATGGCAAACTTCCAAACCCTTTCACGAAGGGCAACGCCAGGTCCTGGGTTTTGAGCGATATCACCACACAAAATGAGAATATTTACTGCCAGGTATTGTTGTCGACCACAGTAATGGCGGACCGCTTCGTCGGTTGGCTTCGGGTAGTAATAACGCTCGTTAGCTGGCTGACACAGGATAATTCAGCTGCATTTCCATACAAACCAACATTTAGGTCAGTATTGCCATGCTTGCGTGTTTTTTTTTTACAAAAAAGACTAAGCTGAAGGACAAACTGGACCACTTTTAGCGGAGCACAAAAAAGTCGTTCCTTTGCAAACGTTGACTATGACCAATGAAAGGTATCATTTAAATAACATTTTTAAAAAGTCGCTCGGCAGAGTTAACCCACAAGCTTAGTACGCATGGAGACACTATTCAGGGTTTTGCGGCAAGTCGTCCTGGAATAGCTGTCAAAAGGAAACATCTCAACTGGTGGACATTCTGTCAAGTCAGCTCTTTGTTGAAAAAAGTGAGGGGAGACAGGTTCTTTAATTTCAGCCATTCTCATCAATTTGAAAACAGAGGATATCAATATGTAATTGGTATCATGAAAACATGTAACAAATTAAATATATAATGGAAAACTACAACTTTCAGGAGATTTTAATTTGGAATGATTCCTAACTCACTTCAGCAGGTTTTAAAAAGGTGAGAAATCAGTGGATCCTGCAATATTAGAAAACAAGATGAACCAATCTGATTTAAGCCTAAATTGACTCACTTTCCGAGCACGAAAAGCTCCCAGCAATTGCCATTGCGAGAAAACTATAGAGAGCAATATCATAAGCGAAATGTACAATGTACATCTCTCTCTGTGCGTGAAAGAACAATAAAATGAGGTGACATAAAATATGGGTTAGGGTTGCTTGGAAAGCGAGTGTGATACAGGTTTCAATCTGTTTCCACCAATTGATTATTATTTGAATTATAGAGAAACGTGATGTTTACGCGTAGTAGGTAACAAAAAGTTAACCAAATACTTACTGATTTTGTTAGTCACTCTATCATAGAAGGCATTAACTGTATGTGGGTGAATCATCCACCTTTGTGTTAATAAAACAAAAATAATAAACCATTAATTTCCTTGCCAGTAACAGACTATAAAACTCTACATTGATCAAGTGAACCATCTAATTCAAGTCCCTCTATCACTGAAGATTATTTATTGTATACATAATCTGCATGAATCTGTACCTCTTTTATGTTATCTAACTGGAAGGATCATTTGAAAAACTATCTTAAATACAATACTTTAAACACAGGCTAATTTGGGTACTGATGCAACACTCACATTGACAACTCTAGTCCATTGTATGAAAGCAGACTTGCCTTCACTGGCATTTGAACAGCTTGAGGTTAAACAGTTTGAGGCAGCTGGAATTTTGCTGATTTGTATGGCTATTAGTAAGGATAATGGGCCACTTGGCTCGTATGCAGACTTAAGAGTGCCTGCCCGTAAAAATCAGACAAATTCTTAATTTCGAAGGTCAAGGGTCGATTTCGCTCATATT